CAGATGCCCCTGCTTTTGTGTGGGCATTTACCTCCTTCAAACACTGGCTGTCGGCCTCTCGCTGCGTCCGATGATTCAGTTCGTGCCACCGCCCCTTCCCTTCTCTTCTTCTCTCCTGGCTGTGACCTTGCTGAGGAGGCTGGTGCGATTCTGTCCTCTGTTGCCTGTTTATTCCCCATGCAGACTTTCAGGATGTGCTCTTTGTTGTCATACTTTGCAGATTTCATGATGATGGGTGAGACTTTATGCCTAAGGTTTAAATATTTACTTATTTATTTGAAAAGCAGAGTTACAGAAAGAGAGACAGAGGCAGAGAGAGAGAGAGAGAGAGAGAGAGAGAGTGGTCGCCTTTACTAGGGCTGGGTCAGGCCAAAGCCAGGAGCCAGGGGCTTCATCTGAGTCTCCCATGTGGGTGCAGGGGCCCAAGCACTTGGACTGTCTTCTGTAGCTTTCCCAGGCCATCAGCGTGGAGCTGGATTGGAAGAGAAGCACCTGGGACATGAACAGGGCCGCCGGCATTGCAGGGAGTAACTCACCCACTGTGCCACACGCTGGCCCCATATGCCTAAGTATTTTGATATCAACTCAGTTGTTTTCAGTAATATCTTGGTATTTCATATCTTTTGATGCTATCACAAATAAAATCATTTTAAAATTTCAATTTCTGACTATTCATTGTTAGTATATAGAAATGCCGTTAATGCTTATGTAATGAGCTTTTTAAAATAGATTTATTTATTTATTTGAAAGTCAGAGTTACAGGGGCCAGTGCTGTGGCATAGGGAGTAAAATGCTACCTATACCTCCATTGGCATCTCATATGGGCACCGGTTCAAGTCCCAGCTGCTCCACTTATGATCCAGATCCCTGCCAATGGGCCTGGGAAAGCAATGAAGAATGGCCCAGGTCCTTGGGGCCCTGCACCCACGTGGGAGACCTGGAGGAAGTTCCTGGATCCTGGCTTCAGCCTGGCCCAGCCCTGGCTGTTGTGGCCATTAGGAAAGTGAACCAGCTGATGGAAGATTCTCTCTCTCTCTCTCTCTCTCTCTCTCTCTCTCTCTCTCTGTGTGTGTGTGTGTGTGTGTGTAACTCAGCCTTTCAAATACATATTTTTCAATTCAAAGTTACAAAGAAAGAGAGAAAAAGAGAGCTTCCATTCGCTTGTTCACTCCCCAGATGGCTGTAATTGCTGGGTTTGGGCCAGCCAAAGGCAGGAGCTTCTTCTGCATCTCTCACATGAGTGGCAGGGCACCAACACTTGGGCCACCTTCTACTGCTTTTCCCAGGCCATTAGTAGGGAGCTGGATCAGTAGAGCCTGGCTGTTCTACTTCTGATCCAGCTCCCTACTATGGCCTAGGAAAGCAGTGGAAGATGGTCCAAGTCCTTGGGCTCCTGCTCCCGCATGGGAGACCTGGAGGAGTCTCCTGGCTGCTGGCTTCAGATCAGTGCAGCTTCGGCTGCTGCGGTCATCTGGGGAGTGAACCGGCGGATAAAAGACCTCTCTCTCTCTCTCTCTCTGCCTCTGTCTCTCTTTCTGTAACTCTGCTTTTCAAATAAATAAATAAATCTTTAAAAAGAAGGAGAAGAGCAGCCAGGACTTGAACTAGTGTTCATATGAGATGCCGACGTCACAGGTGGAAGCTTTACCTACTACAGCACAACACCAGACCTTTGTGTAATGCTCTTGTATCACGTGTTAGTCATGGTAGCAGTTTTGCTATTTTGTAAGCATCTAATTTTTGCCTTTTATTGTAACATAGTTTAAATAGTACAAAAAAGTATAAAGAAGAGTTCAATGAGCACACATAGATTTAACTTTTAGCATTTTTCTATTCTCACTTCAAATGTAAATGTTATATTCATACACATGTTATTTTCCTTGAAAGCAGAAATATTAATATTACATCACATCAAACTCATGACAAAGATCATAAAGTGAGGAAAGAAAGATACTATTCTGTAAGGAGTATAATTCAGTAAAGACAACACTTATAAATAACTATATACCAAATATATGGCATCCACACTTTTTATTATATGTGCGTGTGTATATATAAACACTTCCACATATAAAATTTGTCTTTCTGGGTCTGATTTATTTCGCTTAGCATGATGATCCCCAGTTCCATCCGTTTTATTGCAGATGTCAGGCTGTCACTCTTTATACCTGAATAATATTCTGCCATGTATGTGTACCACATACTCTTTATCCAGTCATCAGTAGCATTTTTCATGTTCCATCAGATCTTTTACACAATTTGTCATATGTAAATTAAGACAACTTTTTCCAACCTGGCCCTTTTATTTCTTTTACTTAACTTATGCCACTGGCTAGACACTCCAGTGCACTCTCGAGAGCTAGTTTGGAGGTTCTAGCAGGGGAGCGTAGCTACTCATGTACCCTTGACTGAAGACCGGTCCTCCTCTAGCGGGGAAGGTCGTCCTCTTCGACCGAGCGCGCAGCTTTGGGAGGGACACACATGGAGCGGTGAGGGAGGAAGGGGACACCCGCCTGGCCAGCCAGATCAGCCGAATCAACCCTGGCGATCAATGGGGTGACAGATGTCGCAGCCAGATGGCCCTCACATCCTCCAGTGCACTATTGAACAGGAGTGGAGAGAATGGATGGACATCCCAGTCTTGTTACTGGTTTTAGGGGAAAATTCAGTCTTTTGCCATTAAGTATGATATTAACTGTGTGTTTCCTGTTTCTACCCTTTCTTGTACTAAGGATGTTTCCATTAATTCCTAGTTTAATGAGAGATTTTATCAGAAATGTGTGCTTCACATTGTTAAATACTATTTCTGCATTCATTAAGGCCATTTGGGTTTTCTTTCTTTAGTAATGTAGTGGATTACATTGATCATTGATGGAGTTTTTGAGTGTGGAGCCAACTTTGTACTGACATAAATTCTACTTGATTGTGAGCTGTTATCCTTTTATATACTGTTTGATAAAACTTCACATTGAAGTTTCCTAGAGTCTTGAAGAGTATTGATCTATTTTCTTCACTTGTAATGCCTTTGCCTTGTTTTAGTATTAGGGCAACACTAACCTCGTAGGATAAATTAGGAAACATTCCCTCATTTCCAGTTTCATAGAAGACTTGCATAGAATTGGTGTTATTTCTTCCTTAATATTTGAAATAATTCATTGGTGAAGCCCTCTGGCCTGCAGTTTTCTTTGTAGAAAGGGTTTTTAAATTTACAAATTCCATATCCTTAAGAGAGAAAGTCCTATAACGTTAACTGTTTCTCCTTAAGTGAGCCTTGGTCATTCGTATCTTTCGAGGCATTTCTCCATTTAATCTAAGTTGTCAGGTTTATTCTCATAAAATTATTCACAATATCCTCAGTATTACATTTTTAGCATCTGTAGAATATGAGTGATATCGCTTCTCTCAGTTCTGCTGTGGGTAATTTATGTCGTCTTTGTTTCCTGATGTTTGGCTTGAGGTTTATTAATTCTATTGATCTTCTTGAAGAATCCACTTTTGGGTTCATTGACTTTTTTCCATTGTTTTTCTTTCTCTGCATTATTGTTTCTTGTTCCTAACTTTATTATTTCCTTCCTTTAATAAGTTTTATTTGCTCTTTTTTATAGTTTTTGTTTGTTTTTGTTTTTTGTTTTTTGAAGGGAAGCCAGGATTTTCCTTCTTTTCTAATATTGACAGCCAACAAGCCTACAAGAGTGGCATCTCCCACATTCTGGTGTGTTCACATTTTAATTTTCATTCAGTTCAAATATCTTCTGAATTCCCTTTTGTCGCTCCCCCTCTTCATGGAGGAACGACACAGGACCCTGCGCTGTTCTTTCGTCTGCTCGGCCCTCCCCGGGTTTGCTGCTGGTTCTTCCCGGGTTGGCTACCGTCCCTTCCACCTCCGTGGAAGGGCGGTTCCCCCTGCCACATTCCCCACTTCCACGGGGGAGCGGCACACCGCCGGCCGGCTCTCTCGGGGGCTGCACAGGTGTTCCTTCAGATAGATGTTCCTGGTGCATGCCGTCTCTCTCCTCCTTTATAGTCCTCCTCCGCCAATCCTAACTCGGCTGCCCACACGCCGAGTACGCTGCTCTCCTCCAATCAGGAGCAGGTCCCACAGTTTATTGGTTGAACTGGAGGCAGCTGTGTAGAAGCTGTTTCCCTTCTCAGCGCCATATTGTGGGAAAGCAGATGCATAGAATAAGTCTTAATTCCAGTAACTTAGTCTAGTCCGAGTTGCTCCCAGTTGCTCCCCACACCTTTGAAATCCATCTTTGACTCATGAGTTATTTAGAAGTATGTTAATTTGGTTCCAAATATTTGAAGGTTTTCCATAGATCCTTCTGTTGCTGATTTTCAATTTTTATTTATTTAGTTCCATTTCATTTAAGAGACAGACAGACACATCCAGACAGATGAGATCTTCCATCTGCTGCTTTGCTCCCCAACCTGCCTGCAACAGCCAGGGCTGGGCCACGCTGAAGCCAGAAATCCAGGTCCCCCACGTGGGTGGCAGGGACCCAATCACTTGAGCCATCATCTGCTGCTTCCCAGGGTTTGCTTTTAGCAGAAGGTGAAACGGGGAGCAGAGCCATGGCCTAAATCCACGGGACTCAGGCATCCCAAGCAGCAGCTTCAAGACTGCACTGACCTGACTTTCCATTTAATCCCATGTGATCATAAAATACACTCGGTGTGACTTGATTTAATTTACTAAGTTTAATTTTAGTTTCAAAGTTAGTAAGAGTTCTTTGTTTATGAAGAATTATTACTTATAATTAATTTACTAAGATTTAAATTTACTAAGAGTCCTATTTGTTGTCCATGTCCATGTGTGCTCTGAAAAGAATGTGTGTTCTGTTTTGGGGTGAAATGTTCTATGAATGTCAACTTAAAATGTTGTTTGGTAGTATTGTTTAAATATTCTATTTCCTTATTGATTTTGTGTTTGCTTTTTTTGCTTTTTCTTTTTTTCTCTTTTTTTTTTTTTTTTGACAGGCAGAGTGGACAGTGAGAGAGAGAGAGAGACAGAGAGAAAGGTCTTCCTTCAGCCCCCCAATGGCCGCTGCAGCTGGCGCACCACGCTGATTCAAAGCCAGGAGCCAGGTGCTTCTCCTGGTCTCCCATGCAGGTACAGGGCCCAAGCACTTGGGCCATTCTCCACTGCCTTCCCGGGCCACAGCAGAGAGCTGGACAGGAAGAGGAGTGACCGGGACAGAATCCAGCACCCCGACCGGAACTAGAACCCAGGGAGCCGGCACCACAGGCAGAGGATTAGCCTACTGAGCCACAGCGCCAGCCTGCTTTTTCTATATATCATTAAAACCATTATTTTTATTGCAGTTACACCTGTTTTGTGGCATGTACTCTGAAACTCTTATATTGGCTGCATAGATATTTATGATTTGTGCTTGTTATGTGTTCTTGATGAATTGGCGCCTTTACCATTATGAAATGAGTCTTTACTCCACTAATACTCTTTGCTCTGAAATCTCTTATGCCTGATGTTAATATAGCTTTCTTTTTATTGGTGTTAGCCTGGTGTATTTCTCCATCATTTGCTGTTAACCAATTTCTGCTAGCGCAATTGAAATAAGCAACACATAGTTGGGTCTCACATTTTTATCCAATCTGACGACCTCTTCCTTTTAGTTTGGCCACTTAGACCATTCATATTTAATGTGATATGATTAGGTGTAAATGCTCTTTGTTTTCTTTATGTTCCATCTCTTCTTAATTTTTTTTCTCTTTTTTTTTCCTTTTTGATTTACTAATTTTTTTACAATTTAATCTTATGTCTTCTTATGGATTGTCATCCACAACCATTTGTTTTGGCATTTTAGTTGTTACCTTAGGATTTATAGTGTGTATATACATAAATACACATATTCACAGTGTATTTATGTATATACATAGCTTATTATAATAAGCTACCATCAAATGATTTGGTGCTATTGTACATGTAGTGTAGTAATCCTGCAGGATTAAACCACAGGCAGACGTGTATCTACCCTTTCCAATGCTCTTCATTCCTGCTATAGACCCCACCCATTCCAGTGCTCCTCTTTCTGCCTACAGACCCCGCCCATTCCAGTGCTCTCCATTCCTGCCTATAGACCCCGCCTTCTAGTGCTTTCCATTCCTGTCTGTAGACCCCACCTTCCATCTGATTTAATGTTCCTTCTAGTGAAGTCTGCCAGTATTGAATTCTTTTAGTCTTGGTATCTCTGAACAAAGTATTTCTTCCCCTCCACTTTTAAAAGGTATTTCCCCTAACTATAGAATTCTGGACCGCCAGCTTGTTTTTTTATTCAGTATTTGACAAATGTCACTCTGCTTCCTTCCCACATGCATCATTTCTGTCTAGTAATCTGCAATAATTTTCCCTTTTAAAACTGTGTATTTATTTATGTATTTATTTGAGAGGCAGAGAGAGAGAACTGCCATCCCCCGGGTCCCAGCCCCAGATGCCTGCAATGGCTAGGGATGAGCCAGGGTAGAGTTGAAGGCAATGGCCGGAACTGTGCCAATCCAAAGCCAGGAGCCAGGAGCCTCCTCCAGGTCTCCCATGCAGGTGCAGGGGCCCAAGGACTTGGTCCATCTTCTGCTGCTTTCCCAGGCCATAGCAGAGAGCTAGATCGAAAGTGGAGCAGCCGGGACTCGAACTGGTGTCCATATGGGATGCTGGCACCGCAGGCAGCAGCCTCACCCGCTATGCCACAGTGCCAGTCCTGAGACACAAGGTTTTACCCATTGCACTTGGCTTTTTAAAACTCATTAGGTGCCAGGACAATGCTTGGCTGAGGGGGAAACTGCCCTGTGTCTCCCAGTGTCTCTTGAGGTTTCCTTCCAGGAGTGGTGGGGACAGAAGCTATTGTGGGGTCTGTGTGAGCAGCAGCTATTATTCTTAGTCTCAATCCTTTAGTATGACTTTTCCCCTGCCCTTGGGGAGCTCCCCTGCACGCCTGCACTTTTCCATCCTCAGCTGGATATTGAGGGGGGACCCTCTGGAGCGTGCTCTGGGTGGCTCTGTCCCCTCTGTGCTCTTCCCCATAAACCCGGGCAGTCGAGGGCCCCTCGGACTCTCAGTGTCGTCTACTCCTCTTGCGGAGTCTGCTGGGCTCCTCCGTGTGCTGTGCCCAGGCAGTGAGCTTGGCCGGCTTCATGTACTTCCCTCTGTGCAGGGAACCCTGTTTTGTATTTGCCAGTGTCCAGCCTCTCGCCTGCTGGTGTTTCACACATTTTGTCCATTCTTTTGACTGTTTAAAGTGGGAGACTAAATCAAGTGTCTGTTACTCCATTTGGGCTGAAAGTGGAAATTCATCACTTCCTCTCATGTTAGCGGGGTCTCCACTGGTGAGGGAATGGTGCCTGGACTGGCTTCAGTCATCTGAGTGCCCAAGCACACGGCACATGCTTACAAAGATGGGGCCGCCCGCGGGACAAAGCCTATGTTACCCAGTGGCTCATGGCTTTATAATTATTCATCTATACTACTCTTCCCTAGATGCACTTCCTGAGGAATGGGAAATGTGCCTTGTTAGTTTTGGGATTATTTCTGTGCAGAATTGGAGGTCTGTAAATGTTTGTTGAACGAATGAGTGAGGGAGGGATGTTGAACTGTTGGTAGGGCTACACGTAGAAGTGAAGCCTGAAGATAAGAATACTTTTTAAGGTTTTATTTATTTATTTTTATTTGAGAGGTAGAGTTACAGACATAGAGGAAGAGTCAGAGAGAAAGGTCTAACAGCTGCTGGTTCACTCCCCAGATGGCTGCAATGGCCAGAGCTGAGCCGATCTGAAGCCAGGAACTTCATCCGGGTCTCCCATGTGGGAGCAGGGGCCCAACCACTTGGGCCATCTCCACTGCTTTCCCAGGCCATAGCAGAGAGTTTGATTGGAGTAAGAGCAGCTGGGGCATGAGCCGGTGCCCACATGAGATGCTGGCACCACAGGTAGAGGCCTAGCCCACTGGGCCATAGTGCCGGTCCCAAGGACATTTCTAACAAACATCTTTGCAGAAGGCATGGGGCCTTCAGGACAAGGTTCGCTCAGGCTGCTGCTTCGTGGGAGCTGTAGACACCAGCACCTGCATCTGCCTCTATGGTGGGAAACACTTCTTTAACATGCTGTCACACACAGTGCCACTGTCACACAGTGCCTGTGTCACACACATGGTGCCACTGTCATGCACTGCTGGTGTCACACATGGTACCTGTGCCACACACAATGCCAGTGCCACACACAATGCCACTGTCACACACTGTGCCACTGTCATACACTGCTCATGTCACACACGGTGCTGGTGTCACACATGGTGCCAGTGTCTCACGATGCTGGTGTCACACACACAGAGTGCTGTGACACACACAGTGCTGGTAGGATGTGTCTGCAGCACTTGGAGGGATTTTTCTGACCTGATCTCATTGTGAAATAGCAGAAGAAGATATCTTTCCAGTCCATCTGTCCCCTTATTTTTGTGTTCTGTCAACTTAATCCTGGAGGGAATTTCTAAGGTTTAATTATAAATCTTTAGTGTTTAGTTTTAAAGGCAAATGGGTCTATTTTAAGGTCAATTTACTCATTTCTCCTCTTTTTTAAAGAATGTAGAGTTGTGTCATACATCTACTGAGTTCCTCAAAGGTTCAAAAGCTGAGAGATTAGGGAGAGAAAAATATTATCACTCACCCACTGTCTGACTCTCAAAGGAAGCACAGCAGAGGGGTCTCGAGTGTCCTGGCGCTCTGCCACCTCCTTACAGCTGAGTTGACTATGCGACCTTGGGAAAGTCGCTCGACTTCTCCAAGCCTCAGTTTTCCCACCTGTATGTAGGATGATGTCGTAATGGTACCTGCTTATGTCAATCCATGTTGCTTTTTTGTTTTGTTTTGTTTTAAAGCTTTTACTATGTAAGGATTTCAACAGTTTGCACACACACATGCACACACACACACAACATATAAAGTACTCTTTGAGAACAAGTTTTGCAGTTAATTCTCATAGTACAACTGATTAAGGACAGAGGTCCTACATGGGGAGTATGTAAGTGCACAGTGATTTCTTTTGTTAATTTAACAATTTACACTCTTATTTATGACGTCAGTGATCACCCAAGGCTCTTGTCATGAGCTGCCAAGGATATGGAAGTCTTCCAAGTCCACAAACTCTGTCAGTATTTAGACAGGGCCATAAGCAAAGTGGAAGTTTGTCGCTCCCCGTCTTCGTGGAGGAGCGACACAAGACCCTGCGCTGTTCTTTCATCTGCTCGGCCCTCCCCGGGTTTGCTGCTGGTTCTTCCCGGGTTGGCTACCGACCCTTCCACCTCCGTGGAAGGGCGGTTCCCCCTGCCACATTCCCCACTTCCGCGGGGGAGCGGCACACCGCCGGCCGGCTCTCTCGGGGGCTGCACAGGTGTTCCTTCAGATAGATGTTCCCCTTAGATGTTCCTGGTGCATGTTGTCTCTCTCCTCCTTTATAGTCCTCTTCCACCAATCCCAACCCGGCTGCCCACACGCCGAGTACGCTGCTCTCCTGCAATCAGGAGCAGGATCAGTTCCTGGAGATCATCACTCAAGTTGGCAAGAGGCAGCTGCATAGAAGCTGTTTTCTCCTCTCCCAGCGCCATGTTGTGGGAGAGCAGATGCATAGAATAAGTCTTAATTCCAGTAACTTAGTCTAGTCCGAGTTGCTCCCAGTTGCTCCCCACAGAAGTTCTATTCTCCCTTCAGAGAAAAGTACATCCTTCTTTGATGGCCCTTTCTTTCCACTGGGGTCTCACTCACAGAGATCTTTCTTGTAGAACATTTTTTTGCCATAGTTTCTTGGTTTCCCATGCCTGAAATGCTCTCATAGGCCTTTCAGTCAGACCAGGAAGCCTTAAGGGCTGATTCTGAGGTGAGAGTGTTATTTACAGAGATTATCATTCTATGAATCTTCTGTGTGGGTATCAGTCCACTCTGAAGTGTTATAACGAAACACTTGACGCCAGGTGCTTATTTGTAAAGAGATTTATTTATCTCACAATTTTGGAAGCTGAAAGCCCAAGAGCATAGTTCTGCCTTAGTGAGGGCTCTGCTGGCCACGCCCCTTCCAGATGGATGCATCATGGGGGGCATGAGTGTGAAAGGAGGAGACTGCTCGGCCAGAGAGGGAGCCAGAGCAGGACAGGGGCCAGACTGGCTCTTTTTGTAACTGGTTCTCATGGAAAACTACTGCAGGTCCATGAGAACTAACAGTCCCCTCCCAAGGGCAGTGCCTCTAGTGACCTCCCACTGGGCTCCACTTCTTTTTTTAAAAAAGATTTATTTATTTAAAAGGCAGGGTTACAGAGAGAGAGGTGGAGACAGAGTGTCCACCTGCTGGTTCTCTTCTCAGATGGCTGCAGCAACCAGGGCTAGGCCAGACCAAAAAGCCAGGAGGAAGGAGCTTCTCCCAGATCTCCCATGTAGGTGCAGGGGCCCAAGGATGTGGGCCGTCTTCCACTGCTTTCCCAGGTGCAGCCAATGGCTTAACCTGCTATGCCACAAGGCCGGCCCTAGGCTCCATTTCTCAAAGTTACCAGCCCCTCTACACTGCCATCCCGAGCACCAAGTCTGGACTGTCTGAGCCCTGGCGGACAAACGTGGCATGGGAGGGAGACGGAGCTGGTTATTATTTGTGCAGTGCTACACAGGGCAGGTGCCCTAGCGCCTCGGTTTAGGAGTGAAATGTAATACACGAAAACAAAGCTTCGCTCCTTCTTTAACATTTTACCCAATCTGCCTTTTCCACAAAGTACAACTTCAATTCAGTTTTATCGAAATGCGTCAACTACAGCGGGCTACATTTTCAGAAATCAGCTGGATATTGAGAGGGAAAGAGCTGTTCTTAACTCCCTTTTCTAGATCTTCCATTTAGCCACAACATCTTATTGCCCTCACTTTTCTCACTTAATCCCACAGCTTAGCAAGCTTTTTCCCTTGAAACTTTACTTTCCCTTTAGTCCGAACCTTCTGCTTTCCTTAATTCAGTCTCCAGTTCTGCCTCTGAACTATGCCCTCTCCCAGCGGTTTGCTTCTGAGTCCTCCTGTCAGCCTAGGCGTCCAGGTCCTCTCCCTTCTTGGTTATGGAGCTATTCCCCGGGACACTTCAGCACTGCAGGTATCCTTTCCAGCTTTCCTGAGTTCATTTCTGACGCACCGTCCTTGTTGTCTGCACGCTCCAAGCCCAGGTGTGTCTGTGGCTTGCAGAATCTTACAAAGGTACTGAACACAAACAAGGTTAACCGTTTCTTTTCCACTTTATACTTAGTGACCTATTTGATTATTCGTGTTTTCAGAATTTCCAGCTTGGCGTCATCTGTCTGAGTCATTATTGTCCGAGCATCTCACTGTTCAGATTATTAGGAAGTTTTTAACAAAGCTAAATTGGGAGCACCGATGTTGTGGCACAGGGGGCTAATCCTCTGCTTTGTGACATCCGAGTGCCCATGGAGTCCTGGCTGCTCTGCTTCTGACACAGCTCCCTGCTAATGTGCCTGTGAAGGTGGCAGAAGGTGGCCCAAATACATGTGCCCCTGCCACCCACATGGGAGACCCAGATGGAGTTCCAGGCTTCTGGCTTTCAGCCTGGCCCAGCCCTGGCCATTGCAGCCATCTGGGGAGTCAACCAGCAGGTGGAAGATCTCTGTCTCTTCCTGACTCTGTGTCACTCTGCTTTTCAAATAAAGTAAATAAATCTATTTTTAAAATGAAGGCTAAATCAGCAGTAAACAGTTGACTTTGTCTTGTAAATGCATGACCTAGCCAATGTGCATTTTGCAATTGACATGGTTTTTTTCGGTGGTCTCTGCCTGAACATGCCATCTGTGGGGGCGCCTGCGCATGACGTCACAGCCCGCAGACACATTCGTTTCTGGCTGGGTGTCCGAGGCTCGCCAGGAGTTTACAGTAGCGAAGACGAGTCTGAAGCCCCGATCTCCTCACTGGCCTTATTGTACAGCCAGCCCCGTCCCGTCCGCCGCCAGCGGACCGGGCAGCCAGCCAGGGCGCATCACCAGCGCGCAGTGCGCAGCCCTCCGCCCACCTGCCCCACACTGGTGAACGAGAGGAAGGCACGGGCTCGGAGGGAGGCCGCCACCGGCTTCCCACCACGCGGGCTCCGCCTCCTCACACAGCGGCCGCGTGTCAAAACACTGGCTTATCAGGAGGACTAGATGAGGCGGCGGTTAAACAAAGGCACACGGTGACCAGCCACCATTTCTAAGTGAATCCTGCCGCCTGATCTGGGCCTGACACTGGCCATGGCTGCTGCGATTACCGCCCGCGAGCCAGCAGAGGGACAAGACCCAGGCATGGAATCGTTGACTGCTTTGGCCTGAAATTATGCGTCCTGTCTTGTGCGTGTCTGCACGCAGGCACACCCCCACCGCCACTCCTGCAGACGGAAAGCTGTCTTCCCAGGGCGCGGGTTGCCGTTGTCTCCAGTCTGGCTTCCGTGTCGTCTACTCTGGTCCTCCTCTAGACCCATTCTCTAAATATTTAGAGAACTAAGAGGGTCTTTTATCTGTGTTTAGTAGTGGATTTTTCTGGCTCTTAAGACATTATCTTTTATAAGTCCCTAAGTGTTAGAAGTGGGAAAACCATCCTTCTTTTAAATTTAGCAAATAGCATTTATGCGCGTCTGAGCTTCTGCCAGATACACACTTACACTGTAATAGAAATACCGTGGAAAAGCAAACCGTACGCTTTTAACACTATCAGGCAGGCGCTCTCTCCCTCTTGTCTCCTCCCGAAGAGACGTTTAGAAGAATGAGAGGCCTCTCTGGGTCCGTGTTTATAAGCCTGGCTGGGGAAAAAAAATGTCAGTTCTTTTTCAGACTCAGGATCACCCTGAAATAAATGTGAGCCTAAGCAATCGCTCAAGTGCTTTCTAAGCAACGGTTCCATCTATAATCACACACACATCCCCTTTTATTTAGTTAATGCCAACGAGAGCTCATCAGAATGCAGTACCATTTGCACGTTTCACATTTTTACTCAATCTGGAGTCCAGTGGCTGAGTAGGTAGCAAAGAGACGCAAACAAAATTGATTTCCTTATCCTCTTTGAATGCCCCTATATGTTGAGAGTAGGTGTTTTTAAGACGGGTGTGGGAGAAAACTCACAGGGCTGTACTGGCGAAGGACCAGGTGTGTGCTGGTTCAGGGATCCAGGCTGTGCTGGTGAGGGCCCCAGGGTGTGTGCTGGTGCAGGGACCCAGGGTGTGTGTGGTGCAGGGACCCAGGGTGTGTGTGGTACAGGGACCCAGGGTGTGTGTGGTACAGGGACCCAGGGTGTGTGTGGTGCAGGGACCCAGGGTGTGTGTGGTGCAGGGACCCAGGTTGTGCTGGTGCAGGGACCCAGGGTGTGTGTGGTACTGGGACCCAGGGTGTGTGTGGTGCAGGGACCCAGGGTGTGTGTGGTACAGGGACCCAGGGTGTGTGCTGGTGCAGGGACCCAGGGTGTGTGTGGTGCAGGGACCCAGGGTGTGTTCTGGTGCAGGGACCCAGGGTTTGTGTGGTGCAGGATGCAAAGATGAGAGTTTATTCTTGGAAAGTCGGAGCCACTTTTCTCCTTTGATGAGCCCTGGCTGGGGATGCAGTTCATGGGAAGGTGTCACATATTGCACTTGCCATGGGGTGAAGTATCAAACCATCACATCCTTGGGATGGAAACAATTAATGCAGAATGTATGTTTATAGAAAACATTTGATCATCCAGGGAAGTAATCCAGGCACATGGAAGAAAGATAGTGTGGGTGATGGAGTCAGTCCACCTGGCTTCCAGTCCCAGCTGCGCTTGTTGCGTCACCTCAGGCTAGCCTCTCAACCTCTCTGAGCCTCAGCTTCTTCCTCTGTAAAATGGGTCAGGAACAGGGGCCGTAGACATGTTGTATTAAGTGACACAGTACCTCCTAAACAACTCACACATAATAAGCATTAAGCAAATACTCATTCGTGTGGTTTCTGGTTTTATTCATTAAGAAAGGAGTTTTGCTTCCAAGATAGCAGAAGAAGTGGAGATGTTGTGGAAATCTTTGGTTTAAACAATGAACTCCAGCATGAAATGGGGCCCTACTGGCCACCAGGGGCCAAAGGGCAGCCAGAATATTCCAGCACAGACAATGGATTCATCTGGGGAAAATGTTTAAGGCACCAAGAATTTTTTTGCGTCTTTTTTCCCCTGTGATATAGACTAAAACCCTCCCTCCTCTCTGCATGTCGCACTGTTCTTGCTGCCATTCTCTTGCTCCGTGGTCTGGGAATGTTTTTTTCTTTCTTAGTTTGGCTCTTTTTTTAGAACTGGTTGTGAATTCTTTCTTCTCTCACATAGACATATGACATGGGGGAGGAGGGCACGCGTATTTCCTACATTTTAGCTGGAAATCTACCTCTCCCTGGAGTAGGGAAGCCAGCAGGGGAGTTTTTCCATCCCCTTGCAAGTCTCTCTCAGCAGTGTGCCCCATGCGCGTGCGTCACACATTTTGATCATGAGTAACGGAGAAGTTTCCCTAAGTGGGGGGTGGGGATGGACTTCAGAAACCCTGGAGGGCGTGCCTGAGCCCACAGGTGACTGGAGCCGCCTCTTCCCACTGTGTCTTTGGCAGGCGGGCTGCCCTCAAGCTCCAGGAACCCGCTTTGGCCATAAGCATGGGAGTCTGAATGAGCCCGACAAGCCACACCTGTCGGGCACCCTGAACCGTGACTGCGGCTACCTGGGTGTGAGTGCGCCGGCTCACTCACCCCGTGCTGAGGGAATTCCAAGGATGCCCTGTGAGCTGGGCCTGCGGTCACTGGAGGCGGTGGCCCACTTGCTCGTGTACCCTCTGCCGTCTGCTCGGCTTCCCTTGCCCATGTCACTGCTCCCCTTCCATCCCCAGGCTCCCTCCACCTCCCAGGCAGCACTTGCTCTCAGATGCAAATGCATTCTCAAAGGCAGAAGGCACTCTACTGAGCCTGGTTTAGATTTTGCTGAAACCACTGTGGGCCCCAAATTAGCAGGGCATGTTTTGTCAGGCCCCTGCTTCCATGGGTTTGAAATTGCACCTACTCAAAGCCCAGTTCCCGGTGGGTGCAGATCTGCCAGGGTGTGTGTGGCCTGAGAACTGATGGTGATGTGGCCCCAGGACCACTGCCACCCCTCCTGTCCCTCAGCCTTCCTTTTGCTGGAAAGCTGGCTTGTGCTGCAGGGGGCGATGGTGGCAGCAGCAGCTGGCATGCTGGGACATGGATGACGTGATGGTGGATGGGGAGCAGATATGTGGTACCGTGCTAAGGACATGGCTTGGGATGCCTGCATCCCATATCTGAGTGCCTGGGTCCATGTCCAGACTCTGCTCCTCATGTGCTCCCTGGGAGGTGGCAGGTGATGGCTCAAGTGGCTGGGTCCCAGCCACCTACATGGGAGACCCAGACTGCACCCTGGGCTCCTGGCTTCAGCCCAGCCCAGCCCTGAGCATTGGAATTTGGGGAGTCAACCAGCAGATCGAAGATCTCTCACTCTGGCTCTCGCTCTCACTCTCTCCCCCTCTCTGCCTTTAGAATAAATCTTAAAGTGGGTGGGTTTCATTAAATGCCCCTGCATGCTTCAGCCCCCTCTCTTCAGAGACCTCTCGGACACATGCTTTGCTGTTTTCCAGAACCAGCCAAGGTGAGCTGCTCACCATACCCACCAGTGCCTCCAAGAAAACACCTGCTTCCCGGGTTTCCCACTGATGGGAGAAGAGGTTGGTTTCTGCAGACCAGCCCATCCTTGGTCAGTCGGAGCCAAGACTGCACGTGTAGCCAGGCAGAGCTTTTAAAAGCATGTCCCCACCATATTCTACATTTCAGTCTCGTGCCTGTTTCTTCTTTTTCGTTTTGCTTTATCACCTTTGTGATGCGCTAATGCCCGAGACACTGGCTGAAGCTTAGTGGAATCTGTATCATGGAGTATTAGCATTCCAGCAAACATGCAATCCCTGTAGCTGACAATAAATTTGATTTTGCACAAGTGGCATTCCTTTATGCTTTGCTCATAAGGCAATCTCTCAAGTGTATCTTTTTTTTTTTTTTGGAGACACACACACAAATAGTCTGGCAAAGTAAAAATGGGTTACATGATGGGTTTTGTGCTCAGCAAAAAGAACTTGGACCAAGCAGAGACGCTGATGTTCTTATTTACAGAGGCTGCCGTCTGGGAAATTAATACCTGCTGTTGCGCAGTAATTAGGAAAATTTAGGACCCCTAGCGCTCCAACATCTTGCATTAAAGGTTGTATGTCATTGGTGTTCCCAGGAGAATTCACTTGATTTCTGTCATTAATAACAGGCATAAGCCAGCGAGCAGTAGAATATGCATTACATTGAATCAATTGCTATTTGTATTCATTATGCATGTCCTCCATTTTGGGTCATGAAAAATTGAAAGACCATTACAAGTAGAAAGAGCATCATGGATTACAAATGATGTAACAGGAGTGGAAGTGCTATTAATTGGTCAATTGTGCCCGTCAGTACATTTAAAGTGATTAAGGCAGAAAGATTAGAAGGGACGGGAATGTGCACGGGAAACAGAAGCCCAGAACACATGCGTCCTGCATGCCCAGATATATGTGGCCAAACCCAGTGACATCTGTTCCGATACAGCCGCTCAACAAATATTTGTTGAGCACCTACCAAGTGCTCAGTGTAGCAGAAAACAAAATGAATGAATCCCCTGGCTTCGGAGTCTTATATTCCAGTGGGGACGGGAACTATAAAATGGAGAGGTCAAGATGTAGACCATCCTCAACTTACGACAGTTCCACTTACAATGGTGCATCTTCCCAATTTTTCAACAGATGGGTTTGTGCTTTGATCTTTCCCCAGCTGGCAATATCTGGCACCATGCTGTGGATCCTCAACAGCCACAACCGCCAGGGAGCCCCTCCATCACAAGGAGAAATGACCTGTGGCCTGCAGCATGCTGTGTCACCAAGCCAGGATGATGGACAGGGTGCTGTGTTCAATGCATTTTCCTCCTGTGATGTTTGCAAGTTACAGCAGGTTTATAAGCTGTCCTGCCATGGAAAGTCAAGGAGCATAATTACAATTGAGTTTTTTTTAAAAAAAAGAGTTTTATTTTATTTATTTGAAAAACAGAATTAGAGAGAGAGGTAGAGCCAGAGAGAAAGAGTTCTTCCATTCTGCTAGTTCACTCCCCACATGAACACAATGGCCAGATCTGAGCTGATCCGAAGCCAGGAGCCAGGAGCTTCTTCCAGGTCTCCCACGTGGGTACAGGGGTCCAAGCACTTGGGCCATCTTCTACTGCTGTCCCAGACCATAGCAGAGAGCTGGATCAGAAGAGGAGCAGCCAGGACTAGAACCAGCGCCTATATGGGATGCCAGCACGGTAGGCTGCAGCTTTAACCCACTGCGCCACAGTGCTGGCCCCGCAATTGAGGTTTATCTTAAGTGAAGTTGTGATGTTTGACCCAAAAGAATGACTTCCCAGGACTAAAAAACTCACTCCATCAGTTTTTCTAACAAAGAGTCTTCAACAACATCATAGAAAATGTGTATCGTGAGATTTTGCACTAAAATAGTCTTACCTTTCAATTCCATTTTCCACAAGCTTTTTGAAGTGTCCTGTGTGATCAGCCCCTTCCCTAGTAGCAGTGCTGTTACAGTGAAAACTGCTCATAGCATTTGCTGTCACCCGAACTCCTTAGCACGACGTGCAAAGCCGGGCACGGTCAGGTCCCTGCCGTGCACACCAGCCAAGTTCTCGGACAAGCAGCCTTTCTATTACTCAACCTTCCAGCCCCTTCCTGCCCCTGGATCTGAGCTTTTGCTCCCTCTGGGCTTCTCCCTGGGCATCCCTGGTAGATCCTCCTGCTCTGGTTTGCTCAGCACGCATGTCACTACCTGAATCCCAGGCCACCTGTTCGCTTGTTTCTTGTCTCCGTCCTGCCTTTGAATATGAGGTCCATGAGATCAGGCACATGTCACTGGGATTCAGGGCTCATTCCAGGGCACAGAGCAACACCTGGTGCAAGCAAGAGGCCCCGTGACCCCAAATTGAATGAACGAATGGGTGGATCAATCAGTCAGTCAACTAACCAGCCAAAAATAAGTCTAAAGAACTTCACAGCTTGGTTTCTGCTTTGGTATTCATGGAGCTATTTATACATTTTTCCAGGAAGCCACGTGGAAGAAATGGGTGTTTATCCTGAGCAGCACTCTCGGCAGCAGTTAGGTAACGTTGATATTTGTGCTGTTTTGCTTCCTTCATCTATACTGTGTTGCTATGCCTCTCTAAATAGCCTGATATTTCTTTTGAATGTATTGAGCTGTTTGTATTGACTGAGTGCCATAGTGTGGTGTCTGAGCGTTAGCAAGCTGTGGATTGCGGGTGCAGGGCGAGCCGCGGAAAATCAGTGTGACAGCAACAGCAACACAGCTGCTTCAGACTCGCTGCTACTCCACAGCATCTGGGACATCTAGCAGGACAGGGCCAGAGTTTAGGTTCATTCCAGCTGTATCTGGAGCAGACTGGCGCCCGTCACATGCCAGACTGTGACAGGGGCTAGGGGTACCTGCTAGAGTGAACAGAAAAGCTAGTAGTAAACGCCAGTGGTTCCAACACGCCCAAACACAGCTGGGGGGTGGGTGATCACATAACCAGAGCCCAGGCCCCATCCCAGGCCATCCCAGGCAGCATCTCTGGGCCTGGGACGTACACATTCATTCATATGTTTCTAAGCTCCAGAGAAAGCTCACGGGCAGCCAAGGTTGAGACCCACTGGTCTTGTAGATGTGTGGATGCCCACAGAGCAAAACCCCAAAGCAGTGGGACAAAGGAGGAGCCGGAGAGCACTGACAGTTCCACCCGTGCCCCACGGCAACTCAGGAGGTTACTTGGGGGTGAGGAGGCCCAGTGACCCCGTGCCGCAGTGGGTACTGTTGCCCCGATTTGTCACCATCCACTGAAGAAAAGTGACGGGGAAAAGGCCAAATCGTGGTTTTAAGTGATGGTTTTTCTACACAGAGCCAGGGAAATGGGCTTCTTTTTCCATATAAGCCAGGAATAGGATGTTGGCTAAACAGAGCTGCTTTCTTAACTGGTAGACTCCAGAGAAAGGGAAATAGGAGAATCAGCAGGGTGATCAGCAAAGGGAAGGAGTTACCGTGTCCTCTGTGATTGTTTGGAAGGGCCTGGATGTCCCGAAGTGTGGCTGCGAAGGTGCCCACGCCTTTGATGGGGCCGCTAAGATGTCCACCCCAGGAGAGGCGCAAGTCCTCCCGGGGAATTAGCTGGGGTTCATGGTGCTCAGCTGGACATCGAGCTCTGCTTCCTGCCCTCCCCCAGATTACAGGTGAAAAGAACGGGAAAATGAGAAGGGCTACATCCTCCTGCAGAGTGGTGCTTCTGATGTGCTGGGAACGATTCCTGGCTTTCGTCTGGAGATAAAAGAGCCATGTTGGCGATCCTGCAGTCACCTCCCAGGAGGAAGCAAACCAGCTCTGAGAAAGTCCGGATGGAGTCTGGGACCCTCACACACGAGCCGCGTGCGCTCCGGCGGAAGCTGCCCCTTCTTCCCACGAGGCGAGTGCCCAGGCAACCTCCGACACCCGGAGGAGCAGCGTCCAGGTCTCCAGGTGCCCGTCCCCCTGGCTGCCTCCTTGGATTTCACCAAGGATTTCACCGGTGATGGCCTGCTGCGATGGTCACCATCTCAGAGAAGCCTCTTCCCTGGGAACAGCTGCAACCAGCAAGGTCAGACCTCAGGGAGACCCACCCGCTGCACCTGCGTCTCCCCGAAGCAGCGGTCTTCTGCCCCGGCTGCACCCTGGTGTCACATGGGCTGCTGGAAAAATGCCAAAATCTGAGCTCTGAGCCCGGAGACCCTCACCGGGGAGAGGGGGGACACGGATGTGGCCTGGCAGGGCTCCTGCAGCCGGGCCGGGCAGCATGCTCCCAGATCAGTGATGCTGGTGGCCGAGGGGAAGGACTCGCCGTGACGGGAGAGGCTGTATCAGTGAGTCCCCTGCACTTCCTGTTTCTCGCCCTAGAGCTGGCATGGAGAAGGACAGGATCCTGACGTCCTGCTCGGGGAATGCCCGGCTTCCAGGTGCTGAGAGGCTCCGCCAGCAAACAAAGCGAGTCCCTGAGAGCAGGTCAGGATGTGGGCGCAGTGGGCCTGGGGCTCTGCCGCCAGAGAGAGCCAGCTGGGAGAGCTCAGGGGTCCCAGGGGACCTTCAGAGCAGGAGAGTGGGGAAGCGCGACAGGAAGCCGGGCCAGGGTTCCACGGAGGCGGCGTCCTGGCCGCAGCCTGGTCTCTGCAGAGCCTGGCAGCACAAACTGACCCCACCCCCACCCCACGGCCAGTCAGAGCAGCTGCAGGTCTCTGCACTGCACATTGGGGAGTCACTGCAGACTCTGGGATTCCGCGAAGTCCCGGGGAGAGGGAGGGCTGTCCGCAGCACGGGGAGGTGTGTGCCCAGAGCTGGAAGGGCACCAGGGGATCCAGCATCTGCTACATCCACAAGGAAGCTTTGTATCCTCACCTACTAGCTTGGCACCCCCTTTTTTAAAAAAAGATTTATTTTTTTATTTTAAAGCCAGAGTTACAGAGACAGGGAGGCAGAGAGAGAGCGAAATTTTCATCACTGGTTCACTCCCCAAATGGCTGCAACAGCCAGGGCTGGGCCAGGCTGAAGCCCGAGCCTGGAACTCCATGCAGGTTTCCCCCGTGGGTGGCAGGGGTCCAAGTACTTGGGCCATCTTCTGCTGCTTTCTCAGGTGCATCAGAAGGGAGCAGGATCATAAGCAGAGCAGCTGGGTCTGAACCGGTTCTTATAGGGGATGCCAGCGTCACGGCAGCATCACAGCACCCTGCACCCCGGAGTTCTGTTGACACACCTGCACTGCCCTCCTCCCACTCACTGCTTCACTCCCAGTGCCATTCCTGGTTTCCTTGCCGCGGTTGTTTTCTGTTTCTCGTTACCTTGGGAATGGGAAGTCTGGGAGGTGAGGAGGAGGAAGAGGATGTGACTGAGGGAAGTGAGACAAAGGGGCCTCTCTGACTCTGACCTGGGCATCGGTTGGGCTCCTAGTGGTGGCCAGAGATCAGGTCGCAGCCAGAAGGCGCCCCCAGCCTGGGAGCTGCCGCGTCACAGTCAGAAGTCTGGTGGCAGGTGCACCAGGGTCGGCTCTGTCACCCAAGGCTATCAGGGCTCTTAGTGGCTGCTCTGCCACTCGCCTCGGCTTCCCTCAGCCCTGTGGCAGGGCTGCCACAGCCCAGCACCCTCTCCGAAACCTGGCAGGGAGGGCCTGGCTTCCCCTCATGCCTCTTTCTCCCATCAGAAAGGGAAGTGCTGCCCCGGCTCAGCCACAGATGTCACTCAAGAGAAGGTTTGCTCAGGGTGGCACCACCTTCCCGTCTCTGAGTCTAAGGGAGGCTGGGGAATGAGTGGCTGGCATGCTGCCTGCTACTGCCACTCACTGCCACACGGGGGAGCTGCTGATTCTCCCATCACCCTCGCAGACCCTTCTCTGCCCTCTCTGCCTCGCCCCCTGCCCCATGCCCCACGTCCCCGGATTGGCCCACCCCCTGTGCCCTGGGATTGCCGCCTGAGCTCAGCCAATGGAAGACACCAGCAGGAGCTGAGCACGGCGGGGGCGGGGTTGGTTCTTTCCCGCTGAAGGCCACAGCCATCCACGGAGGGGGGGGGCAGACACCACCCCTCCCGACCACCCAGGGCGCACTGCCTTTCCTGTGCCTCCCCTGCTCTTCACTGTGGAAGTTTCCAGATCTGTCGAGAAGTCAGACACAGCCCTAGTGAGCCTACGACCCCTCGGCCAGGCACACTTCTGATTAATATTTTGCCACAGCGCCTCAGTGGACAGATATAAATAGATAGGTAGGCAGATAAATAATTCACGGAGCTGTACCATTTGGGTTTTTCCTGAACCATGCGAAGGCTTTAAATATTTTGACATTTCACCCCTAAATACCTCCACATGCATCTCCTAAGGCTAAAAACATCCTGCCCCCAACACCTCAAAATTAACATCCATTCAATAATATCACTCGTTCTATTTGTCCTTTAAAAATGTTTTCTTGGTAAGCTCTGATGTGTGGTAGTGTTTTGCTGCTGGCAGAGTCCTTAAATAATTAAACATGATTTCGGTTAATACCACAGCCACCTTCTAAAGTCATCATCTCCCTCCTCTAAGTGGGGAAAATAAGAATCAGAGAGGGTGAGTGAGCCAACAGGGTCACACAGCTGACGAGCAGCATGGCTGGGAGGCATGGCTTCCAACCCTGAACCCACACACCAGGCCCAGCCCATTCTTGCCAGAGCGCTCGGCGTTCTAGAACCTAGGCCCCCAAACGTGTCTCTCGTTTTCCCCTCTAACTTTCTCATCCACCAAGAATCACTGCAGCTTTGTCAGTGATCCCCTAGGTGTGCCTGTGCCTGGTGTGGGAAAGCGTGATTGATGATGTGGTGCCCTCCCCTCCCCCTCCTCCTCTCACTCCTCCCCTCCCCCTCCTCCTCAGCGGAGGAGCCTGGCCAGCCCTGCTCAGCAATCGAGGGAGCAGGTGTCCTTGAGCCCAGCAAGGGCAGAGCCCACTTCTGTCCATCGACATCACGGCCGCCCTCCTCCAAGCCGACTTAACGCTTGCTGGGAAAAGGTAGCAGCCCCTTGCCTGGCCCCAGAGGCTTCGCCCCTCCTCCACTCAGCAGCCAGGGGCCCCAGGCCACACCTGCGCCCTCCAACCCGATCCCTTCAGTAGTGTTCCCCACCTGGGAATACGAGGCTGCTTCCAAAAGTTCAAGGAAAATTAAATTTAAAGATAAGCTTATTTTGGTGCAAAAAAACCCCAAACTCTGAAATGCATAGTTTTTGTTTTTTGTTTTTAGGGGCTGGCGCTGTGGCTTAGTGGGTAAAGCCGCTGCCTGCAGCGCCGGCATCCCACATGGGTGCCGGTTCTAGTCCCAGCTGCTCCTCTTCCGATCCAGCTCCCTGCTAATATGCCAGGGAAAGCAGTAGAGGATGGCCCAAGTCCTTGGGCCCCTGCATCCGCGTGGGAGACCCAGAAGAAGCTCCTGGCTCCTGGCTTCAGATTGGCACAGCGCCGGCCATTGTAGCCATTTGGGGAGTGAACCAACGGATGGAAGACTGTCTCTGCCTCTGCCTCTGTGTCTGCCTCTGGCTCTCTGTAACTTGGCCTTTCAAATAAATAAATAAATCTTTTTTAAAAAATATTTTTTTATTTGACAAGCAGAATGACATAGAGATGGAGGCAGAGAAGGAGGGAGAGAGAGAGAGATCTCCCATCCATGGTTCACTCCATAAATGACCTCAACAGCTGGGGCTGGGCCAGGCTGAAGCCAGGAGCTCCAACCAGGTCTCCCCGATGGGTGCCAGGGCCCCAAGTATTTGGGCCATCTGCTGCTTTCCCAGGCATATTAGCAGGGAGCTGGATCAGAAGCGAAGCAGCCAGGACTTGAACCAGGGCCCATATGTGATGCTGGCATTGCAGGCTGCTGTTTAACCCTCTGTGCCACAAGGCCATCTCCCAGGCACAGTGTTTTTCCTAATACACATTTTTCAGAGTTTTCTGAAGACCCATCATAAAGCACAAGCCCTCTGCCCTGTCTGCTGTGGCCTCTGCAGCCGGCCCACCTCCATCCCTGCTGACCTCGCCGCCTCTTCATGCCGTGCTCCCCGCCCTACCCCAAGGTCGAGCCATCCCTGCCTCATTTTCTGCAATCCTGCCCAGCTCCTCCTCCAGGCCTCTAGACCTGCCTCCTTCTCCACCTGCCATGCTCTCTCCCCCAATTCCACCCTGCATGCATCCTTCAGCCTCAGCTCAGGGACCAAATCCTGGGCCCTGGGCGGACCCCACAGACTCTCACCCCTGCCCTGTCTCCACGCCGCCCTCAGCATCTACACCTGGGTGCTCCTGGGTGGGGGCTTTCTCATCAGTCCCCTCCTGCTTCCTCTTTAGGAGCAAGGAGGGGCCCCAGCCCCTGCCACCATCCCAAGGCACGACCCTCCAGAGAGGGTGTGAGGCCCAGTGTAACCTTCTCCCCGCACCTGCTCTCACTGCACGCGGCCCTCCGTCCACCCACTCGCGGCTTTCCCGATTACCATCAATTCCATCATCAAATATTTATCGAGCATAATTCCCCACGTGGCATTTTGCTGCTCACAGGTATACCGTGGTGAGCAGATTGCTGTCCTCGGGGAAGTTACCCGCAGGGCGGGAGAGGCCGAATCTCACGGGCAGACAGATACATGAATGTCGGGCTGTAGCCCGGGGGACAGAGCTACAGAGGACACCGAGAAGCCGGGATGATGGAGGAAGTGGGGGCAGAGTTCCCAGCCCAGCACCAACCTCCCTCTCCCTGCTGGAAGAATCCCAGCTGCTGCGTCTTCCCTCCCGGCTCACACACGCGGAATCTCAGAAGAAATTTCCCTCACCCCCAGCTCAGGGCTGGCTCCAGCCCACGCAAGTGCGGTGCTGCCCCCTTGCCAGGAGGTGCAGGAGACAGCATGGGCCCGAGTCAGGTCAGAGAGACCCAGGAGGGCCCCCAGGAGCAGACCTGGAGACAGGGCTTCCCGTGCTGGGGTTCCTAAGGGGATGCCCCGGGGACCAACAAGCTTCATGCGGTTTGTCCCCTAAGGTCGTGTGCTGGAACCTTGATCCTCCGTGGTGGTGCTGAGAGGTGAGGGGACCTCTCAGAGTCGGGGCCTGGGGTTGGGGGGATCCGTGAGTCACAGGGGACCCTGCCCTTGGAAGAGGTTAAGGTGAGTGCTTGTGGGGCCTGCATCGGTTCTCAGAGTGAGCTGTTCCAAGAGACCCCGACCCCGAGGCCGCACTGGGCCTGTCCATCCTGAGAAGTGACCTCCTCGTCCCACTCATTCTCCTGCCGTTGGGATGCCGTCCCCCATGAGGCCAAGCCAGAGGCAGCCCTCAGTCTCAAACTGAACCTCCGGGACTGTGGGCTACATACACCTCTCCTTACCACAGTAACAACATGAGCTACCCCAGCGCGCTCCGAGGGTAGCAGAGGTAGAACCCGGGAGGGGCTGGGGAGCCCAGCGCAGGAGCGGGGCAGCTGCCTACTCCCTGGTTGGGGGCTGCCCCAGGGGACATGAACACCAGGCACCCCCTGCCCCAGGATTAGCACCTGCTGACGCCTGAAGCTGGCTGGAGGCTGCACTGGAGGAATGGGATGGGGGCAGGGGGACCCCATCAGTGTGGGGCACTGAGAGTGTCCACTGACGTCGTTAACCCTCAGGCAAACAGCAGAGCCTGGGCCACCTCCTGGTCCAGAGACTGCCCGCACGTGCAGCCTTCCACAGCCGGAAGTGCCTCTTTCTGCTGCCTGCACAGAAAGGCCACGGAGCACCCCCATGCTTATTGAAACAGGGGGGAAAAGGCTTTTGCATTTCAAAACTATTATTGTACTTCACTAGGCTCCCCGGGGCCTCTTGGCCAACATTGAAAGCCAGAGCCTAACCTGATTAATCAACTATTGATCGCGCAGCCGTGCACCGTGTGGAGAGGAAGACCACCCATACCATCTCCTGTTTACGTCCCTGGGAAGACGGAGGCTCCCCCAGCAAGTGTGGACAGAAAGCTTGTGTCGGCACAGAAGGCAGCAAAGCCAGTGCTTCTGGGATTGGGCCGCTGCTCCTCCATTGGGTGGCTGACTCCGAGAGGGGCTCCCGGCCACTCTGCGCATATCCGCGTTTACAGCGTGTAAGTGGGACATGTGAGGGGGTAGTGGAGCGGCTGTGGGCGCCCTGCTCCCACTCTGTCGCTCCCCCTCTTCGTGGAGGAACGACACAGGACCCTGCGCTGTTCTTTCATCTGCTCGGCCCTCCCCGGGTTTGCTGCTGGTTCTTCCCGGGTTGGCTACCATCCCTTCCACCTCCGTGGAAGGGCAGTTCCCCCTGGCCACATTCCCCACTTCCGCAGGGGAGCGGCACACCGCCGGCCGGCTCTCTGGGGGCTGCACAGGTGTTCCCCTTAGATGTTCCCCTTAGATGTTCCTGGTGCATGCCGTCTCTCTCCTCCTTTATAGTCCTCCTCTGCCAATCCCAACTCGGCTGCCCACACGCCGAGTACGCTGCTCTCCTCCAATCAGGAGCAAGTCCTACAGTTTATTGGCTGAACTGGAGGCAGCTGTGTAGAAGCTGTTTTCTCCTCTCCCAGCGCCATATTGTGGGAGAGCAGATGCATAGAATAAGTCTTAATTCCAGTAACTTAGTCTAGTCCGAGTTGCTCCCCACACCACTCCCCGACTGGGAAGGGAATGCAAAAGAAAACAAATCTGGGAGAAGCGTCAGTGCCGTCAGGAGTCTGGTGCTAGCCCTTGCCTGCTTCCTTTTTCCGTTGGTTCACCCCCTAAATGGCCGCTACGGCCAGCACCCCGCACCTATCCAAAGCCAGGAGGCAGGTGCTTCCTCCTGGTCTCCCATGCAGGTGCAGGGCCCAAGCACTTGGGCCATCCTCCACTGCCTTCCCGGGCCACAGCAGAGAGCTGAACTGGAAGAGGAGCAACCAGGACAGAATCCAGCTCCCCAACGAGGACTAGAACACAGGGTGCCGGCGTCGCAGGTGGAGGATTAGCCTAGTGAGCCATGGTGCCGGCCTGAGTATGTCTTTAAAAGGGCAGGGGGACAGTAAGCTGAGCTTCTTCCCATGGAACCAGCATCCCATGTGGGCACCAGTTCGTGTCCCAGCTGCTCCTCTTCCAATCCAGCTCTCTGTTATGGCCTGGGAAAGCAGCGGAGGATGGCCCAAGTGCTTGGACCCCTGCACCCATGTGGCAGACCTAGATGAAGCTCCTGGCTTCAGATGGCCCTGCTCTGGCTGTTGCAGCCATTTGGGGAGTGAACCAGCAGATGCGAGATATCTCTCTCTAACTCTGCCTTTCAAATAAATGAATCTTTTTTAAAAAAGATTTTATTTATTTATTTGAGAGGTAGAATTACAGACAGAGAGATGGCCACAAGAGCCATGGCTGGGCCAGGCCAAAGCCAGAAGCCTGCAACTCCATCTGGGTCTCCCACATGAGTGCAGAGACCCAGGCACTTGGGCCAGCCTCTGCTACTTTCTCCAGCGCATCAGCAGAGAGCTGGGTTGGAAGCCGAGCAGCCAGGACTCAAACTGGCGCTCTAATATAGGCCGCTGGTGTCGCAAGCATAACCTGCTGTGCCACGATGCCTGCCCCCTAACTTCTGTTTCTGGTTCGTGTATGCTTCCAGCAAGTTGAGATGTCAACACAACTCTACAAAGGCTCCTGTGGCACATCCGTGAATAGGGCAGGCGTTCTAGTGGGCGCTGGGGCAGTAGAGGGAGTCAGTCAGTGGCATACGGTGGAAGACAGAAGGCAAGAATCACCGTGCGAGGAAGCCTCCCCTGGGAAGGTGGCTTTGAGCAAAGCCTTGTCCAGGACGGGGAATGAGATACGTAGCTAGGGAGGGAGGAGCGGTTTCCATGTGCTTGGGGTAGCCTCTGCGAACCCACCAATGCTACAGAAACAAGTGGCTGATATGCAGTGAGTGGAAGGTTTGGATGATGAAATGGATGAGGCTGAGGTTTCCAGGAGCCACCTTGCCCCCCAAAAGCCACCACATGACACACGGGGAGAGCCCAGAATAGAGTAAAATAAGCAAAGACAAACAGAGGCCCCTGGATCTAGCCATGCCTGAAGCAGCATCCACCCACACTGTTTCAGTGCTGAGATGACACAGTCCCTGTTTAGGTCACTTGTAACTGGAAGAGTCCTGGATCCCAAGTGCCTAGGGCACCTGAGCTGCTATGCCCACCATGGGATTCCCAGGGCACCTGCTGGCCGGTCCTAGGCAAGGGGAACTCCAGCCTCCGAGGGTGAGACCTGGCATCCATGCCTGCAGAGGGTGCCTGGGCAGCTGACAGGTGAGAAGGAACCTTTCAGATTTGCAATTTTCAAGTGTCAGAAGGATATGGTGCCGCTCCTGTGACACCCGGCGTCTCAGGCGGACTTGCCCCGTTTCCCATCAACACGTCTGCTGTGGGAGGCGTGGCCTTTGCACTCCTGTGATCTGGAACCCACAGCTGAGAATGAGCTCCAGGCACCCGCTTCCGTGGCAAGTCACATCCACGGGACAGACCCTTCTTCAATTACCGCAGCTGTCCACCCGCCCGTTCCACTCGGCAAGTGCTTGGAACAGCTGCGCCGGAAGATGCTGTGGAGACGGAGAAGCACACGCGCCAGCCCCTGAAAGAGCGGATAAGCCAGTGGGCGCGTGGCCCTCAAGCTCTGCTCATTCTCTGGGTCCCTTGTAAATGCAAGACAGCAGGTGCCGGGGCCAGAGCCCCAAACGAGAGAGGGGTAGGAGCCTGTGTCCTACCTGGGTGTGCCCGCTCAACCACCTGAAGACACAGCACCCAGCACAATGGGCAGGACCCCAGTTCTTGGAGAGCTTGTGTTCTGCTAGGGCACAAACATAATAAAGAGAAATTATTTTCTTCAAGGATGATTCCTGACGGCAGGTGTTTGACTAGCTGTTAAGACAATGCTTGGGGGCCGGCGCCATGGCTCACTAGACTAATCCTCCACCTTGTAGTGCCAGCACACCGGGTTCTAGTCCCAGTCGGGGCACCAGATTCTGTCCCGGTTGCCCCTCTTCCAGGCCAGCTCTCTGCTGTGGCCAGGGAGTGCATGGAGGATGACCCGGATCCTTGGGCCCTGCACCCCATGGGAGACCAGGATGGGTACCTGGCTCCTGCCATTGGATCGGCACGGTGCGCCAGCTGCAGCATGCCGGCCGTGGCAGCCATTGGAGGGTGAACCAATGGCAAAGGAAGACCTTTCTCTCTGTCTCTCTCTCTCACTGTCCACTCTGCCCATCAAAAAAAAAAAAAGACAATGCTTGGGACAGCACATGTAAATGTCTGGATTCAAGTCCCAGCTCTGCTCCCTGTTCCAGCTTCCTGCTGATGCACACCCTGGGAGGCAGCTGGTGATGACTCAAGTACCTGGGTCCCTGCCACCCATGCAGGGACCTGGATGGAGTCCTGAGCTCCTGACTTCAGCCTGGCCCAGCCCCAGCTATTGTGGGCACTTGAGGAGTGAACCAGCAGATGAAAGACAAAAACATCTCTCTCTCCTCTCCTCTCTCTCTCCTCTCCTCTCCTCTCCTCTCCTCTCCTCTCCCCTCCCCTCCCCTCCCCTCCCCTCTGCTGCCCAGGTCTGGAGCAGCAGCCAGCGTGACACCTCTGAGAGCCAGGGTCCCTGCTATGTGGCTGGCACTCATGAGTGACACGAGGAGCGAGCACAGGCGAGGGCAGGTGGGCGGGGCCTGTTCCCGCAGGGCTCAGGGTGGCAAGCTGCCACCTGTGTCTCATCATGTGACACTGCCGTACCAGATTCCCCCTTGGACCCACAACCTTAGCAGACCCCTGAGCAGAGTGATGGACCCAGCCGAGCCCAGGGAAGGGGAGGAGGCTGTGCGATTTCTCCAGATAGGAGCAGCGACACTTTTATAAGTAGAAAGCCTGCGAATAAACACAGTCCAGGGCCGGAAATAAAGAGGCCCGCACATAGGTTGGGGCACAGTGCAGCCGTGAGGGCTGGAGGGGGCATGGTCCTGCAAAGGTGAGGAGCCACGGGGGTGCAGTAGGTGCCTGGGAGGACGGGGGCAGGGGAGGTGGAGGGTCTGGAGATTTAAAGGCAAATGGCGTCCGTGGGGCCCACGAACCCCAGGAGGTCCTCGGCCCTGAGCCCAGGAGGGGTCTTACCTGGTCTCGAGGGTGCAGCAGCCGTGAGGCCACAGCAAGGGTCCGGTCCCAGGCCTCAGTGGTGCTGCCAGGGGACGGCTGCTGTGTTCCCTGCAGCTGGGAGCACACGAAGGGGGCTCGCTCTCTGCAGCAGCTTCAGGGAAGAGGGTGGAGAAGAACCGGAAAGGCAGGCGCGCCCTTCACCTGCCCAGCTCAGGGTGGATCACGGGAGGACCTGAGCCCTGCGCCTCGGAGGAGGAGAGGAAATCCTGAGCTGCTCGGAGGCCTGCAGAGCCAGGGTCAGGGCCACCCGGGCTGGGGACGCGGCCCCTGCTGCTGCAGCTCCAGGGCCGTCTGGCTGAGCTTTCTGACCAGGGGGAGGCCGAGGAGGAGCTGGGCCTGGAGAGTTCAGGGAAAGGCACCTTGGAGAGGCGGTGCAGGGCTGCAGTTAAGAGAACGGGCTGTGCTCTCATAAAAACATCAGCTCCAATCTAGACCCCACCGCCTGCTGTGTGACTATGGGCCGTGCACATAACCCCTCTGAGCCTGTGTTACCTCACCTGTGTCATAAGGCTTTTCACAGTACCCAAGCTGAAAATTAAGAGAAATCGATGAGGGTCATACAAGCAAAAGAGAGCAGTGTGTACTGGCTATAGTTATTTTGTTTTAAAGATTTATTTATGTATTTGAAAGAAATGCAGAGAGAAGGAGAGACAGAGAAAATGATCTTCCATCTGCTGGTTCACTCCCCAGATGGCCACAATAGCCAGAATTGGGCCAATCCGGAGCCAGGAGTTTCCTCCAGGTCTCCCACATAGATGCAGGGGCCCAAGAGACTTGGACTTTCCCAGGCACATTAGCAGAGAGCTGGATCCAAAGCGGAGCAGCTGGGACTTGAACTGCTGCCCATATGGAATGTCGGCACTGCAGGCCGTGGCTTAACCCACTGCACCACCGTGTCGGCTCCAGCTATAGTTATTTTTATCATTTTTAAAAAAGATTTATTTATGTGCTTCCTTTGACTCTCCGTCCTTTCATTATGATCAATTGTGAACTGAAATTGATCACTTGGACTGGTGAGATGGCATTGGTACATGCCACCTTGATGGGATTGAATTGGAGTCCCCTGGTATGTTTCTAACTCTACCATTTGGGGCTTGAGCATGTCCCAAATTGTACATCTCTAACCTCTCTTATTCCTACTCTTATGTTTAACAGGGATCACATTTCAGTTAAATTTCAACACTTAAGAATAACTGTGTATTAATTACAGAATTAAACCAGTCATATTAAGTAGAACAGACAAAAAAACTACTAAGAGGGATAATGTATTAAGTTGTTCATTAACAGTCAGGGCTATGCTGATCAAGTCACCATTTCTCATAGTGTCCATTTCACTTCAACAGGTTTCCTTTTTTGTGTTCAGTCAGTTGTCACCGATCAGGGAGAACATATGGTATTTGTCCCTTTGGGATTGGCTTATTTCACTCAGCATGATGTGTTCCAGATTCCTCCATTTTGTTGCAAATGACTGGATTTCACATAAACAAGTCTAGTACCTGCTAATACTAACTGATAGAATAAACAAAGGGGAGAGTGATCCAACATGGGAAGCGAGATACTCAGCAGACTCATAGAATGGTGGATGTCCTAAACAGCACTCTGGCCTCAGAATCAGCCCTAAAGGCATTCTGATCTGGCTGAAAAGCCCATGAGAGTATTTCAGGCATGGAAAGCCAAGACACTCTGGCAAAAAAAAAAAAAAAAAAAAAAAAAAAAAAAAAAAAAACTAAATGAAAGATCTCTGTGAGTGAGATCCCAGTGGAAAGAACAGGTCTTCAAAGAAGGAGGTACCTTTCTCTGAAGGGAGGAGAGAACCTCCACTTTGACTATGACCTTGTCTAAACAAGATAAGAGTCGGTGAACTCAAAAGGCTTCCATAGCCTTGGAAACTCATGACTGGTGCATAGGGAGATTACTGATGCCATAAACAGGAGTGTCAATTTGTAAAGTCAACAACAGGAGTCACTGTGCACTTACTCCTCATGTAGGATCTCTGTCCTTAATGTGCTGTACATTGAGACTTAATGCTATAATGAGTACTCAAACAGTATATTTCGCTTTGTGTTTCTATGGGGGTGCAAACTGTTGAAATCTTTACTTAATGTATGCTAAACTGATCTTCTGTATATAAAGAGAATGGAAAATGAATCCTCATGTGAATGGAAGGGGAGAGGGAGTGGGAAAGGGGAGGGATGCGGGTGGGAGAGACGATATGGGGGGGAAGCCATTGTAATCCATAAGCCGTACTTTGGAAATTTATATTCATTAAATAAAAAAAAAAGATTTATTTATTTATTTGAAAGGCAGAGTTACAGAGAGGCAGAGGCAGAGAGAAAGAGAGAGAGAGAGACGTCTCCCATCTGCTGGTTTACTCCCCAAATAGCTGCAATGGCCAGAGCTGCACTGATCCCAAGCCAGGAGCCAGGAGCCTCTTCTGGGTCTCCCACATGGGTTCAGGAGCCCAAGCACTTGGGCCATCCATCTTCGACTGCTTTCCCAGGCCATAGCAGAGAGCTGGATCGGAAGTGGAGCAGCAGGGACTCCAATCGGCGCCCATATGGGATGCCAGCACTGCAGGCAGCAGCCTTACCCGCTACGCCACAGCACCGGCCCCTCTTTTTTTTTTTTATCATTTATTGTACTAGCTCTAGGACTGCGGTGGGGAACATCCAGCCGAGGGGCCTTTTAAGACCCATGAAATCACTGAGTCTGGCCCTGCCAAAGCAACACAGACAGGACTCAAAATTCAGTAAATCTATAGCAGGCTAATTTTTAAGTTGTAATTTTGTACAGCCTGCCGATGATGTCGTAAACATGCAAATGGCCCTGGGCAGGAGACCGGTGCCCACCCCCGCAGGGGAGCGCCTTTGATGCCTTCCTCTGGATACTCACACTAACAGCCCTGGGATGACAGGGCGGCTTCCCGGCTAGTCGAAGCCCCTGGTCACCTGCTCTGCTCTGGTGTCACTGGGGCACTGGAGCAGCCCCGAGGAAGAGCTGAGGACCTGAGGCTGCTGCCCACAGCCCGCTCGAACTCGCTGCTCAGCAAGCACGCCACCTTGGAGGTGGGCCCTCCGCCCCAGGCAACCCCTAGACGGCAGCGGCCCCCGCTGACCACCTGCCTGCCAGAGCCAGACCCGCTCATTCGGCAGCTCCATGTGAGGCAACACCTCCTCCAGGCAGCCTTCCTGAGCCAGGTCAGGGCCCTTTCCTTCAGATAGCAACAGAGTGCTTTGTGTAGCCCACTCAGAGGACCTGCCGCACCACACTGTAATTCAGGGCTGCGTCATGTTTTCTCCTGTGCTTGGGCTACTGGGAGGCTTAGACCCACACTCTCACCTCGCTGCAGCCAACTGTTAGACCTCAATGCTCCGTGGCAGACAGACCCTATTACTAATCCTATCCCAGTCTTACCTTACCTTCCTGCTCTTATTTATCTTTGCCCCCGATTTATGTTTTGTATAAATTATCACGCGTTCTTTTGCGAAAACAAATGCCATGGAACGAGTTGGCTGGGGAATCGGTTGCAGCGCAGCTGTTACCTGCTGACCATAGGCAGTGTCCTCGGGGGAGGCCTTGACTGCCGCGGTTCTCCCGCAATGAGAGCGCCCCCCAGCGGTGGCGGTGGGGCGAGCACCTGGGCCAGCTCCTCAGTGCACTGACGCTCTCACGCTCCTGGCTGCACCAGGACCCATCCTGTCTGATCAGGTCACTGTCTATCTGTCACCTGGATGAGGCTGGCACCTTTGAGGCAGAAACAAACCAATAAGCTACTCTAAAAGGAGGCTTGCA